CTTGCTACAACCGGGTCGGGGGTGGGGGAGGGCAGGAGAGCAACTGGGGACTTTGGAGAAGGGAAGTGGATACTGGTGACGGGACTGGTGATGGAACATCGTATGTAACATCAATGAATAAGTTGGTAAGTCTGTAATTTATGGTGATAAAAGTCTAAAAATATATATAAGAAAAAATCCAAACTACTCTTGGTAATATCTTACTCATTGGGTTATCTGAACACAATTGGTCTCTTGAGCTCTAACAAAGCTGTAAGGGACCTTGATTTAGGCTCCAATGCTCTCATTGTCTGGGTGGAAGGAAGTAGGCTAAAGCTAAAAGAGGTTGTATGACTTTTTATGGAAAGGGACTAGGGCTGTGTCCCATTGTGTCTTTCAGGGAACCACCTGGCTCTCCTTAGAGAACACACTTGAGCTGCTGATATTGCATTTGTATGGGATGTATGACAGTGCCTTCCTTCCCACTCTGCATTATAGACTCGTGAAAACAAATGCTGTTTCTTTTATGCATCTTCTTATGCCCAACATCCAGCTTGCGCCTTGTTTGTTGCACGAATGGGTGAATACATAAGTAAACTGTCTAGGGGTGAATGGGAATGGAGTCCCCAATGTGTTGAAAAGAAAACACAGATACAGAGAAATAAGATGTTGTCAGGATTGTGCCTTAAAGAACTGTCTGTGGTTTTTCATTTATTTGTTTATTTATTATTTTTTTATTGCTTCACCGTGAGGTACAGTAACAAAGCTTTCATGTTTGAGCTTCAATCATACAGTCATCAAACACTCATCCCTTTACCAGTGCACATTTTCCACCACCAAAATCTACAGTATTCACCCCCCCACACCCATTCCATATCTCCCCCTGCCTGTGTGACAGACAATTTGCACAATACTCTCTTTGTCTACTTTAGTTACCTTCGATATTTTGAGACCAGTCCCACCACTGCTCATACCTGCTGAAAAGGCAATGCTAGACAATGTGTTTTGTATTGCTTGTTATGGATACAATATGGGGCTGGAGCGATAGCACAGCAGGTAGGGCGTTTGCCTTGCAAGCAGCCAACATGGCCGACCCGAGTTCGATTCCTCTGCCCCTCTCAGAGAGACCAGCAAGCTACCCAGAGTATCTCACCCGCACGGCAAAGCCTGGCCAGCTCCCTGTGACGTATTCGATATGCCAAACACAGTAACAACAAAGTGTCACGTTGGAAACATTACTGGTCCCGCTTGAGAAAATCGATGAACAACGGGAGCACAGTGACAGTGACAGGATATAATATAAAGTCGTGAGGCCACAAAAGCATCCGCATGCTCTAAGAATTCTAAAGTTTTTATAATTAGGGTCTGAAGAGATCACTGAGGCAAGTTGCTTGGGTCTGAGATTCGTTTGTATGTCTCTGGATCGTGGCCATGTGGGAACTTAAGTAGACGGTGGCCGGATGTGGTGTCATCTCAGAGTCCCATCGGGGTAGGGGGGAAACGGAGAAGAGCCCCTCCTCCCCTGTCCCATGAGGTCTGGCATCTGCTGCCAGCGCTACTCATACCTGGAGCTTGTCACTACGTCTAGAAAATGTCAGCTGCCAGGGCTCCTAGAGGGCAGGTGAAGGGATGGCACCTGCCCCCGTCTGGAGCAGCCCAGCGGAAACGGCCTATTGCAAAATCTGGGACCATTTCTGCATCAAGTTGCTCAGGTTCGAGGTTCATTTGTGTGTTGTCTGTGGTTTTTTAAACAAATTTTCAATTATACTTGTGGTCAAAGAGAGTGGTCCTGAGCCAAATGGAGGAGAGCATTTTGTCTACAGACTCCCCTCCCCCATGCCCTTTTGTTTATTTTATTTTAAGAAATATTTTCATTAAAATAAGACCGCATTACAGAAGTATTTATGAATGCATCATTGTAAATAAACATCTCTATGTACTAGAAAAAAATTAGGTATTTCAAAAAATTTTAGAACATAAATTCTTGCAACAGAAATATTTTCCTCCAGGAACTGAGCAGTAGGAGAGCAGGTAAGGCATTCAATCCCTCAGCATCCAAAATGGTTCCCAGAGCACCTGTAGGAGTAATTCCTGAGCTCAGAATCAGGAGTAGTAACTAGGTGTGATGCAAAAACCAAAATAAAATAAATATTACCCCCATTTGTATTGTGATAACGTGGTTTTACAGAAGTACCCATATTACTGTTTTATATTTGTAATGCTCCTCCTACACCCCCCCAAAGCCCCCCACCACTATCTTTTTTTCTTTGCAGCCACCACTGGATGATGCATGTTTTATTGTGACAATGTACAATGCCATGGAAACAAGGACTCTGATGCTGGGACCAGAAATGCAAAATGGAATACAAAAATAAAAAGGAACTAATCTGTTAAGAAAAGACACTCAATGTAATATTGTTAAATTTTATAGCACAAAATAAAACAAGCTATGATCCCAAAAAATAATTTGAAAAGCGTACACAAAAAATATTATTGCCTGAAATTTATAATCTTTTAAGTTATAGGTCAAAAGAGTTTTGTGTTGTTGTTTTAAAACACACAGTAAAGACCGTCTAGAATCAAGGTACTGTTTCTCCTGCAGAGAAAATGACCCTGTCTCAGGGATCTTTCCTTCTACTCCTTTAGAATACACAACCAGCTCAGTGTCCACACTGACAGCAGTTACCAGGAACAGAGCTCTCTGGTCCCAGAGGGTGGAGTTTGAGACAGAGCTCAATGGTGTCCACAGAAAGCATGAGTCTTAGGTACTGTGTTAAACAATCAAGAATTCACTCATTTTTAAGAGGTTAATGAACAGAATATTAAAGGATTAAATTATAAACACCTGGCACAAAAACACATCATCTCTTTTCAAAAATAAAATGTTCATATTCCTCTGAGCAAACATTATGAGAGCAGTAGCCAGTCTTCTGTCCTGGCCCACCCAATCTGTAAACAGAGGTAAAAGAAAGTTGGCACAGTGCCAGGGATGCTTGTGCCCCAGTGGAGCAGCCAGTCTTCTTTCCTTTCAGTTTTCCAACCGTGAGCACAGAACATATCTGTCTGGATGAGCAGTCACATGGCAGCCAGTCAGTGTGTCCTCTCTGTTTGCCATGCCATCAGGTGGCCCCACACTGCACAGAAACGAGAAGGATGACTCCAGGGCTGGAGACTGTACTCTAGTAATAAGTTTTTGACAAACCCATCAATGCCCTTTAGCACAAAACTTGTTCACTTCCCAAGTTAACTTAACCACCCAGTTATTTTCTAAAACCACACAGAAGAGCAGAGCAAGTCGCCATGATGAAGAGTCCTACATGAGAAACCTACCCAGGAGGGAAGCTAGCTCCTCTGGGTAGGGCTCATGTTGCTTTATGAAGCACAGACGTCTTCCCAGATCACTGCAGAACCCAAGCACAAAGCTGAGGTGGGGGTGCAGTTTTTGTGTATTTAGTATGAAAAAGAGAAATTTCCTGCATAATTAAAAAGCTAATGTTTCTAAGTAAAAAAGTTACAACTTTTGGCACATATTTTAGAGTTCAGAACTCAAAGCTCACCTTATTTTGGGCTCTGAATCTCGAGCCATCCTGGAGACATATCTATGGGCTTATGTGACCAAAAGTATTTAAAAAAGCAAAGCTAGGTTTATGGGGTATTCTGATTCTGAAGTGCTCCACATAAGGTGGGTCCTACTAAAGGCCAGCAGACATGGCTAGAAAGAAACCTTGCTTTCCAAAAATGCCATATGTATCTTGTGCTCTGATCCAACTTCTCATCTAAATCTGATTTTAAAAGGTGCCTTCCTTTAGCAAAGTATATATATATGATACATCAGAGGTAATCACTGTGTGCATTCCAAGTGTGTGTGGAATCGCCAGTCTGCAGACAGCTGGACTTCGGCAATGCAGTGTAATTTGCCTATGAGAGAAAGCTTTCCCGCATCAAAGGAGATTATGATAGGCAGAACAACAAAGCAGCAGGAGACACAGTGACAGTAATCACTCGTTTTCATCCGGGTTTTGAGGGTCAATGATTTTGACATGTGTAAAGGGGAAAATCCCTTTGCACCCATTCACGTCGCCTTCCCATTGGCCATTTATATTCGTCCTTGTAACTTTCACAATGTCACCAACCTCTAATGCCAAGATGGTCTTGTCATAAGCACAAGGTACTCTTTTTTGAATTGCTTTCGCATAGACAGGTACATTCTGTGTGGATGGCAAGGGATTGATTGCTACTCCAGGAGAATTGGAAACTGTAGGTGGAGCAGTTGTGATCTGAGGTTGAGCATAGGCATGAGCAGGTTCTGGGATCCCGTAACTGTTGGAATTCCTATTTCCATGCTTTCCATGTGGTGACGATCTCACAAGCTTTTCCACAAAAGGACAGGAATCATCCCAACACCACCATCCTTGTTTCAAACACTCCACCATTGTTCTTTGGGTTTCTCTATAATCACCAGGATCTCACCCTTTTTAAAGCATCATTGCCAAAAAAATCAGAGAGTCCGAACATATTGCAAATTTTCTTCCGCTGAAGGCAGGTTGGGTGCTGATACAGATCCCATTGGTGGGCTTGGATACCCGGGTGCGGGCTCAATCGGGGTGGTGGTGTCCAGGTAGTGGGTCTTGTAGAACTCCAGCAGGGCCGGCAGGTGGTCAAACTCCTGGTCTCCGATCTTGAAGCAGCGGTTGGGCAGCGAGTTCATGATGTAGTGGGAGATGCTCGAGTTCTCGGACACCGACAGCACAGTCCCCGGGACAGGTGGAGGAGTCGTGCACCAGGAACGTGCCTTGGCGCTGGCCCTGGAGCCGGGTCTGCGTCTCCTGGAGAGACACCGGCCCCGTGTACCAGGTCGAGCGGTACGAGGAGTCGAACCTGGCGGAGGACATCGTGTCGACCAGGGGGGCTTCCCCGGCTGGTGGGGGGCGGCCGCTGCTCTCTGCCGATCCGGACGCCTGCCCCAGACCGACGGCTCTGGGAGCAGCGGATGGGCCTCTCGGCACACCTCGAGGACCGCTTTAAAAGGCCGAGCCTTCCTCTCGGCTTCGGTCCCGCAGCATCCTCCGCCGCCGCCCGCCTACTCCGGGGCCGCCTAGCGGAGGCCGCGCGTCCCAGGAACGCGGTACCGAGTCCAGGGTCTTGCGGCAGATGAGGGCGAGCGGCGCGCAGAGGCCGCCCCGGAATTCTCGGGCCCCGGCTCCCCAGTAGGGGGTTACCTCCAGGGACTCCTGATCCACAACACGCCGGCTCCGCAACCCCCACGGCCCTGAACCGACTGCTGGCGCTACGCCAAGCACCGGACTCCACAGGAGGGTCCCCTATATGACCTTAAGAGAAGGAACTGACTCTTTTTTCTCCAGATGAAAATGAACTTTACATAATAAGGTGGAGGACAGAAATTGTAATTTCTGAGTTCTCAGGATGAAGTTTAGGGGGAAAAAGAAATAATTTGACATAAGCTCTAACTTTCTCCACAGTAGTATTCTTAGTAAGACCTGGAGGAGACTTTCCCAACTGTGTAACTGCCTTCTAGAGGGGAAAGGATGAGGATGCTATGGGATGCCATGGTCCAGGAAATCATCAGACCTCATGAAATTATCAGCCCTCATAGCTCAGCCCTGGATTTCAGCTTCTAGCTATCAACTCTTACACTTAACTAACAGATGTTTATAGACTGTTGCTTGGTGTTTCTCATTTTCTGAAATGGCCATCTACATTCCCATGCCCAGGAGAAGTGCAAGCCTGTTCTGTGCTTACTCTGAAGCCTCTCCACTGCTCAGGGTGTTCTTATGGTTTCTATGCATACAAAGAGAAAAGCAAAAATCCCTGCCCAAGCTGCAGTCTGACTGTTCATGTGTCTGTCATTTTTTCTGTCAGTGCCCACTTGACAGGTCAGCACAATCACTATATCTGGTCTTTACAAAGAAAAGGTGGACAAAATCCACACAGCGCCTTCTAAACAGAGCTCCTGTTCACTGTCTGTCTCTCTGTGTTTTTGTTCTCTGTGTCTGTCTGTCTGTCTGTCTGTCTCTCTCTCTCTCTCTCTCTCTCTCTCTCTCAGAATGGCAAGTCCCAGAGGTCAGGGAACTATGGGGTGCAGGACACAAGAGCTGAGGAGGGAATTTACCTGCATTCACTGAGACACTTGGCCATTGTTTTGGGTTTCTAGGTCTAGCTTACCGCCTTCTAGCTAGACTTTCTCAAGGACAAAGGAGTACAAGTTTAGGGCCACTTCTCCTGTGGCTCATGTCTTGGGCTAAGACCCTTGGGCCCAACCTTTTCCACACCTGCTCCTTCACAGGCACGCCTTTCTCTGCTTGCATGCCCAGCAGCCAGAGTCTAGTATGACAGGCCTTTGGCTTCTAGTCCCTTCAGAATAAGAAATTATTCCAATACAAAAGTAAGGCTGTCCCCAAAGTTTATAGCTGGATTCCACTACAACCACAAGGAGGCAGGCTAAGCAAAACAAACCAGAGAGATAAAGGCAAAGGACAGCACTCAAGTATGACGTGAAGAAACAAAGCAAGGGGACAGTGAGTAATGACCGAGACTCTGAGACTCTGATGACAGAACTGAGACTACCAAGAAGGGATGAGGGCCTGGAAGTCAGGTGGGGAAGGAGAGGTTGATGGAAGGGACCTAGACATTGTATATTTGCTGGCAGTTGTCGTGCAGTAATGTAAGCTTAAAGTATGAACTTTTGGGTTTTGTTTTAGATTTACAATTGGCAGTACTCAGACATGACTCCTGGCTCTGTGCTCAAGGCTCACTCCTGTGTCTGTGCTCAGGAATCCCTCCTTGCAGGATTCAGGGGACCATTTTGAAATTCTGGGGATCAAACCCAGGTCAGCTGTGTGCAAGCCTTACCTACTGTACTAACTCTAGCCCCTAAAGCATAAACGTTTTAATACTGTAGTAAGTCATGTGTCCTCAATAAAAAATATTTTTTAAAAGTCTTTATGCTGGAGGGGCTGGAGTGATAGCACAGCGGGTAGGGCATTTGCCTTGCATGTGGCCCGACCCAGGTTCAATTCCCAGCATCCCATATGGTCCCCCAAACATGGCCAGGAGTAATTCCTGAGGGCATGAACCAGGAGTAACCCCTGTGCATTGCTAAAGAAAAAAAAAGAAAAAAAATCCCAAAAAGAAAAAAAAGTCTTTATGCTGGAGGACTAGAGAGATGGGAAAGGAGTGAAAGCACTTGCCATGCATGCAACTAACCTTTATTTTCCCTTTTGCACCACATATGGTCCTCAAGCACCACCTGAAGTAAACCCTGAGCACAGAGAGAAGTCAATCCTGAGCACTGCTGAGAATGTGGCCCAAATCACCCTAGCCAAAATAAAAAAAAAGCACTTGTATGTTAGAGAGCCAGGTGACCCTCCAAACATGGAAATGTCAATGGGCTGCCCCTCCTCCCAGATCTACTTACGAAGAATACAATGCTCCCTGACTTTTATTTCTGTCATGTTGAAATGATTAAAATGGATTGCTTAGGGGGTATTGGTCCAGGAATGGAAGTCACACTTGGCCACCTTGCTCAACCTCTCTAGAAACTGATCTCCAAGTCTCCAGATCCCATAGAGATGGCCAGGGAACCAGAAGTTGAATGACCACCTCAGAGCTTTTCTGAGACAGTAAACACAAAGCTTTCACACCTTAGACAAGCTTAGACACCAGGGACCTTTCTAGAGTTCTGCCTCAAAGCTCTGTGAAGAGAGGGAGTAGCCCCTGACTCCTCACATTTTCAGAGTCAACCCTGTCGCCCTCATTTCCAGATCCCAAGTAAACTCTCAATATCATCAGGAGATTAGAAGGTTACATATTGAAATTGGGTGGCCCAGCTGGTGCCCAGACAGGAACCCCCTCTGAGGGGTGTGTGCCCTCCCACAGCACCCCTACAGATTCCTCATTTTTTCCAGACCAGACACTTCTGGCAGAGACTGTATGCCATCAGCCACAGTGAAATCCATTTCGTCCCACAAATCCCACTGAAGACCACACCAGTAGCAGCCTGTGTCCTCTGGTTTGGGGAGGACACGGTGACACTGAGCTGGCTTTCTTGTCTCTCAGGGACATGAGGTCCATGCTGCTGGGTGTGACAATGCTGTGAGTTCATTGACCCGGAATAGCTTTGACATCAGTATTTAGGATGATCGTTACAGTAGCAGTAGATGAGGTAGGTACAGATGACAGGAGCTGTGCCCAGAACAAAGTTTTCCTTGACCTTTCCATTCATGACCAACACACACACAAACATTCACTCACAAACATGCACACACACCACCACCACAACCATCATCATCATCATCATCACCACCACCATCACCACCACCACCACCACCACCACCACCACCATCATCATCATCATCACAATCATGATCATCACCACCATCATCATGATCATCACCACCATCATCATCATCACCACCATCATCATCATCGTCACCATCATCATCATCATCCTTAACGCCATCATCATCACCATCATCATCATCATCATCATCACCATCACCATCATCATCATTACCATCATCATCATCACCATCATCACCATCATCACCACCACCATCATCATCACCACCATCATCATCATCACCATCATTATCATCACCATCATCATCACTGTCATAGTCATCATCATCATTTTGTTTGTTTTGTTTGTTCATGGCCTGGAGCGATAGCACAGCAGGTAGGGTGCTTGCCTTGCATGACGCCGACCCAGGTTCAATTCCTCTGTCCGTCTCAGAGAGCCAGGCAAGCTACCAAGATATCCCATCCACACAGCAGAGCCTGGCAAGTTCCCTGTGACGTACTTGATATGCCAAAAACAGTAACAATAAGTCTCACAAAGGAGACATTACTGGTGCCCCCCTCGAGCAAATCAATGAACAACGGGACAAGAGTGCTACAGTGCTACAGTTTTTGTTCATACCTGGTAGTAGTGCTTAGGGCATGCTCCTGGTTCGGCACTCAGGGATCACTCCTGGTGGGGCTCAGGGGACCATATAGGGTGCTGGAAATCAAATCGAACCTGAATCAGCTGTGTGCAAGGCAAGTGCCCCACCAGCTGTACTATCACTGCAGCCCCCATCACTGCTTTTTAAGCACAGTGCAGCTCCTGACCTACTGTAGGAAAACTAGTAAAAGCACTGGAGGTGTCTGGGGTTGAGTAACTGCCAAAAGTGCTGACCTCCAATGTTCAGCCCCCATGCCTCAGAACGTATTTGGAGACAAGTATTTCAAGAGGTGGTAAAGTGAAAATGAGGGTGAATCTTCATCCCATTTGCCTGGTGGCCTTTACAGAGAGGTTAGGGCACAACACAAGGGGGTGGACTCATGAGGACATGGACAGGAGCCAGGGACGGGCCTCAGAGGAAGCTAGGGCTGCCAGTCCCTCAATCTGGGACCTCGGTTTCTGGAATAGAAAGGAAATGAGCTTCTGCTATTGAGACCCCGAGTCTGTTGTGTTGCATATGCAGCCCCAGCAAACTAGGACAATCATTGGAGAGAATTGACTTTCCCTGGTCTAAGATGGGTGAAGTGGGAGTCCCCCACCTGCAAGAATTTAGAGGGTCTCTTGCCATTGCAGGCTGGACAATGCTGAAGCTTCCTACAAGCATGTCCTCTGCACCAGCCACCCATTCCACCTCGGCACCCTCAGAAAGCAGGAAGGGCTGGCGGGTGGCACAGGCCCGCAAGCAGAGGGAGCCAGGACTGTGCTGGCTGACTCAGCGCCTGTCTCCTCTGCGCATGTGCAGCCCACTCTCACCTACTTGCATGCGGAAAGGTCACATCGCGTTCACCCTGGCAGTGCCGGGGCCAGTGTCCTGCCAAGGAGACAGCAGTGGTGGCAGCGTCCTGCTCCTACCCAGCCTTCTCAGGTGTGTGCGGGCACCCTTCCTGGCTGTCTCTAAGGCAGCTTAGAATTGGGGCAGAGGGGGTTCCAGCCCCTTGCTGGGCGAGGCCCTTGCTTAATGCCTTGATATGCTCCTGTCTAGCCAACAGATCAAGGCGGTGTGATGCCCAGTTTGCAGGGACCTAGAGGGCAGACCTAGCCTTCCGAGACGGGTCACTGGGCTCAGACAGGGACTGAAAGCAGAAACGTCTCTTCTTGTAGACCTGCGAACTTGTATGGGATAAGGAGGACGAGAAAGGGAACTCCCACGGGAAAGGAGAATGCCATGACCCCGTCCAGTAAAGACCTTGTTCCCCGCAGCCCTCGGGTCAGAACTGCAACCGGCTACTCCAGGGGCAAGAGTGATTTCTCCTTGCCCTTTCCTGTGATTCCTTAGACAGCTGGGGCGAATAAGCAGGAAGTCCAAGAAGGAGAGGAGAAAGACGTGCAAGGCTTCTGTGAGTCTGTGGGGCTGGTGGAGGGCCGTCTCCCCTGAACTGGGAGCCAAGGAGAGCAGAGAGAGGTCTGTAGCCAGGAGGCAATATTGCAATATTCTTGAGGATCTTAGGAGCCTTGGGGCTTTTGAAGGGGAACTTCTCTTTGAACTTAAAACAGGTTTGGAGAGGCCAGGAAGAGGGAGAGATGACCCCCAGCCCCCAATCTCCCCAGTAAACACAAGTACATGTATTCAGCGTTGGTCTCCAAACTGGGCACTGTGCAAGACAACTCATCAGAAGGAAGCCACTTCGAACACAACCGGCTTGACAGATGGGAAATGGGCCAGGCCAGGCCAGCTAGAAATAGTGCAGCGGGTAGCGCAATTTCCTTGCATATTGCCAGCTCTGATTTTATCCCAGCACCCCATAAGATAATCTTAGCTTTGCCAGGAGTGACCCTTGAGTAAAGAACAAGGAATAGCCCCCTGAACCCAACCTCTGATCCTGATCCAATAATAATAATAATAATAATAATAATAATAATAATGATAATACAGGGCCAGGGGTATGGTGCTGCCCAGCAGGTCAATCTGTACCTGAGGGGCAAGTGCATCAGCAGCCTGATGGTGCCTTCAGGCTTCCTGATACCCCAAAGTTGCTGCTGTGCATCTGGCTGGACCCCAACAACTTGGGACCAAGTTTCCCAAGAAATTAAACTGCCAACTTACTACCTGTATTGCAAACCTTAATACATAAAACCATAACATAAAAGGACAGGGAGAGAGAGAGAGAGAGTAAAAGGGACTGTGCCTGCCACAGAGGCAAGAGGTGGGTGGAGGGAACAGGGTGGGGGGGGGGGAGGGATACTAGGAGTACTGGTGGTGGAGAATGGGCACTGGTGGAGGGATGGGTACCTGATCGTTGTATAACTGAAATGTAATCATGAAGGTTTGTAAGTCTGTAACTGTATCTCATGGTGATTCGTTAAAAATTAAAAAAAAATAAAGTTTGAACTTCAATATAAAAAAGAGAAGAAATCAAGCAGTCAGAAGTTAAGTATGTGGGAGCCATGCCCACAAACCCTCCAGCTCAGCTATACAAGCTCATTTATCGGCCTCACTTCAGAGACCCATAAATAAATCTTGAAAGAGATCAAAATAAGGCCATTTAAATGCATTAGTGGCCATGATTCAGAGACTAACAAATGAATCTCAGAGGAGAGCATCTCGTGGCATGTTGGAATACAAGGAATTCCTAATATGTTTATCAGGTTACACTCATCACAGTACTCCCGAGTCACTTCTATTCCTTTGTTTGTGTGTAACCACTTCTTTGTGCTCTCTTCCCCAACCAGTTAATCAGCTTTTCCCCACCAGAATCTGTTAATTTGTAAGGTCAGATCCTTCTAGGACAATGAACTTGTACTGTAAGTTAATATTGCCTTTCTTCTCTCCTTGAGAGCCCGGCAAGCTACCGAGAGTATTCGATATGCCAGACACAGTAACAACTAAGTCTCCAATGGAGACGTTACTGGGCCCGCTCGAGCAAATCGACGATCAACGGGAGGGCCTTTACCTTTTCTTCTCTCCTTAGGCCATTTGAGTAGTTTACTTTAATGCAATGTCCTTTTTGTATAGATACAGGAAGACAATTAATATTATGCTTTATAACTTAGGATTTAATTGGCTTTGAATATTATTCACTCCTGGGCACCTGCTTTCTCAACTTAAGCCTCGGTTGCCCTCACTTCCTAGCATCCTCCCCCCATAAAACAGGGTCCCGATGAGGGACTGGATGGAACCAGGGCAAGCCGGTAAATTATTGCTACCCTGGCATCAAGATGGACCAGGCCAAGGTGCCATGATTCTTAACTATAGGTTAAGAGTTTGATCATAGGCAAATGCTGTCATGATCCAAAAGTAACGATGAGACTAGGACCCTGCTAGGGATAGGAAAGACTATCTGGCCTGAGTACTGTAGTCTGAGATTGAGATGGCCCTAGGAGAGCAATTCTATAAGCTTAAGGTATTTCTTACTGTGTCCATACAAAATGATTCATATTATGTATGTTTATATGTTTGTTGGACAAGGAGATAAGAAATAACCCAGGGGATTCCATTCTAGGGTGAGTCGATCTGCTAAATGAGAATCTGCCCTAGAAGCAGCTTTCCCGTGTGTCCTGACTAGTTTGGATGAGACTGAACATTTCTCCCCTTCAAACTGCCTTCAGTAAATAATTTCAGTATATTGTAAGAGGCAGTTTTTCCTTTTCTCACAGATCTCAGGGGCTAGCCAGACCTGATCTCTGGGATGTAGATTCCAAGCTCTAGTAGACTGGTCTTTGGGATGCAAATCCAAGTGCTTGTAGCTTGTGAAAGTGCTTGTGAAAGGTTTCAGTATTGGTTTTGTATCTTCTTTCAGGAGGCCAAAATTACTGACCTGCAGATGTAAAGAAACAATGTATGTTTTGCCACCTCAATGTTCTTTCTGTAACTCCTTTTGATGACAACACTGTGTTTCGCCCTTTAGAGGTACCATGATCTATATCAGGAGATTTTCGTGGCTCTCTGTGGTAACACGTGCTTTAGAGAACCTGGGAAGACGGGGCTGAGAGAACCAAAGAGACAGGTCTGAGAGAACGAGACAGAAGCTGAGAGGACAGGAAAACACGTGCTTGAGAGATCCTGGGCCCTCCATGACATAAGTTTCTTCCTTGTAATAAACTGCTACTAAGACCAACCAGCCTGGCCCTCTTTTCCTTCCTTCGCCTGC